GCGGATGGCTTGTTTCTGCGGCGATGTCTCATGTACTTGAACAGCACGTTTTTGTTTTTTCGAGCGAGGTCCAGAATGGTGGCTTTTTTTCGTATGTTACATTGGCGGATTTCCGGTTTACATCGGTTCTGCATTTCACGAAATGCCGGCTCGCCTTCTATATCCCCTGTAGTCAACTTTTAGAAAATGAGCCCACATCTGTTGTGGTCTATCAATAGCTGCAGAGGGCAATCGGTATAAATTGATGTCATGTTTCGGACTAAATGTAAAATAGGAAGTGTGCACAAAATATAAAGGGTTATCTCTCAAATGTTTTGTTAGAGCAATAAAATTCAACCATGACTCGTGTGTACTCTGCGAATAGATTGAACAGCGAAAAAATTCTTTCAGGAGGTTGCTCGAGGGAAAAACGAAACCGATTTCGATATCATTCATGCTTCGGCTTCTCTTATAGGACACGAAGGGGTACACGTGTGCTGGACGATTTAAGAGTTGGGATCATAGGACGATTGGTGCTGTTCACGATTCTGTTATTAGCAGCTGAAATTGCTGGAATCATCTATGCTTCACGAGTGACCTTGATAAGAATAAGATTTGGATAGGTTCCATCCTTTCGGTAGGAGCATACACGAGCAAGAAGCCGAGGGCTTGCATACTCTGGCCATTTGATATCAACCCTGGAAACAGATTGTTAGTGATGGTAAGCGAAAGCTATCCCTCACTACTTGTGGCGATAGGCGTGGGTGAGATAGTTGTGAACGATATATGATAGAAACACTTAGACCCAATATGGACCAGGATCTATATTAGTGACAAAAGGACGTTGTTATATTATGGCCAGGTGGTGTAAACAACAGTACTAGTGCTGTGCTTGCGCCGGCTAGTAAGGAGGGGGGTTTGGACACTGAATACTGCCATATTTTAGCGGTCTAATAGTGACATGCAAATTTCGCAAAAAGCCAGTGCATTAGCTTAGGGAGGATACGATGGACGCTTTGCTCGAGGGGTCGTAAAGATGCGGCACACACTAGCGACTAGGGATTATAGCCCATAGACGGTGGATAGTGTACACTCTGCGCGTGACGCTGGCCTAGTTACCACATAGCTTGACGAAATGGGAGGCATGGAGAAAGGAAGATGATGTCCAGCGAAGTTGGATTGAACATGTGCGAAACCAGTTTCATTCAATGGGTAAGAGGTTAGATTCAGTCTATCTCAATGGATGTAGTTTTACCGGTTCTACGTTTAACCTTCCTCAGTTTCGTCTCTTCGCTCATCAGCCAGGATGCCTGCGTATGCATGTAGCACTCTAATTGACGTCGATCGAATCTGGAGTCAGCCAGGCTATGTTTATGTGGACCAATAGATTCGAAGGAGGAAGGGTCGGGTTGGCCTTCTCCATAGCTCACTTGAACGAGTGTTAACATATGAAGAAGGGAAGTTAATTAAAATTCAGGCCTGCTTACTCCCTTGAAGTTCATCAGAAAATAGGACGGCGTGGCCGGCATCAATGAGGCTTGTAACGGACAAGTGTTGGGCTGAAGAAGGCCATTTCTGCCGTCCTTCACTTCTCACCTGGACAGAATAACAGTGCGTCCATAGTTAACGGGCAGTGGTGACTGACTGTGGAACAGTTGGGTTACCGTACCATTTTTTCATGCCGTCAGCGCATAGGAAAGCTGGTCACTTAGGAGGAAGATGAAAGGGCGGGGGCTTGCGAAGGCAACAGAGGAGGGAAATCCCTTGAGGAGCCTAACTGTCAACCTCGAACGATGACAGGAAGGTATAAACTCATACTTGACAACTTCGATTAGTTGGGAAAACCTATCCTCATCACCAGCGGGGAACGCAGATGCATGGAAATTCTCTACAAAGTAGTGCACTGTATGTAATTCTCCCAGAATAGAGGATTTATTGGAAAGGAATAAACTGGATGCCTTTTTGCGTTCAGGGTTACCGGTGAGCTTGGGGTGGAAGACTTGGTTAACCCGGCAGCAGCCATTTTGGCTGGGTATATGTTATGACATGGAGGCAAGAAGGAATTAGTCGCTGAAAAATTTCTTCACCGTATTTCAGTATGTGAGTTCAAGCCTTATTGTTCCGTGACAGGGAGTGTTATGAGGTTTTCTTTTTTGGTGGGATGGAAATTCGCTTGCTTTCTCGCTAACAGGAAGACGCCTTTCAACGAGAGTATGAATAACAGCTAACGGTATGCGAAATACATAGGCACATTCTATGGTGCCTTTGGGATACATGTAGTGGGGGCCCGAGGAGGCCCGGACTGGCCGCCAGGAGTTTTCAGGGCTACGCCTGGATTCTCAATTTTTTTTGGGGGGGGAGATTTTTGGAGGGTTATTCGGAAAGCATACTACGGTAATGATTCAGCTCGCATATGGAACGGACGTGCGCTGAGGACCTAGACATCCACACACGGCTGGATTGCATCAACCTGGGTGATAGCGCCAACATCCCATCTACCTGGATCGGACTTACTGCACACCCTAGCAGGTATAGTAATCTCAAAAATGACGCATCACGAACTTCGTGACAATAAACGGAAGCACATCCTAATCAGAGTGCACGCACAATCGCACGTGCACACACACCCACGCCGACCCAATCTGATTGCCAGATGAACATAGGGATGCACCAATCACAATACACGTTGGCAGACCGTGTACGGTGGACTGGGAAAACACTTGAGAAAGGTTATCCACGGAAACTGAAGCTTCGGATTACAACTACCTATTTCACTACGCCGTTTTGACTTTATAACTACAGAAAAGCTCCCCAAAATAGAGCACTGCGCGTCTAAGGATCGTCTATCACACCGCTACACCCTTTGTTCACTTGTGCCTTTCAGGTAAACGACATCCACTGACCGACAAGAACAAAAGCAAGCCGGGAATCTTGGACAAAACCCTCCATCCTGTGTATCAATCCGTGAATCCGTGATCTGTGCACCAGTCACCACACGAAACACCTGGTGTTTCGCGAGTCGCTTGACGAAGGCCGCCTTCCCTCTGCCTGGCAAGAAGCGATTGTCACGCCACTCTACAAAACTGGTGACCAAATGTCGCCTGGCAGCTATAGGCCTATAAGCCTCACTAGCGTGCCGTGCAAGGTGATGGAACGCATTCTGAAGCGAGCCATCCTAGATCACCTTACTTCCAGCAATCTGATATCTCCAGCTCAACACGGATTTCTACCAAACCGTTCTTGCGTAACAAACATGCTCGTGTTTATGGACAGCTTAACCCAAGCCAAGGACAAAGGACTCATATCGGATGCCATATTTTTCGACTTCTCAAAAGCATTTGATAGGGACCCACACGTCCCGCTGCTCCACAAACTCGAGTCTTACGGAATTCAAGGGAAAATCCTCCGCTGGATCAAGGCGTTCCTATCAGACAGGTCATTCCGAGTGAGAATAGGCTCAACCTATTCCTCTCCAGCGCCGGTCTCCATTGGAGTTCCTCAAGGCTCAGTCTTGGGACCACTCCTGTTTCTGACCTACGTCAACGACCTCCCAGACGTTCTTGCGAGTCCACGT